ATATCCTACTTTTAATAGATGGAGAAAATAAAACATGGATTATTGGGCTACATTACCATGTTATGCTGAATTGCTGCTGTTCAACTTGGAAAAATATGAGCATCAAATATTTGTCTTTTTTGGAGATAGAGTGCTAGATCCTCCACAGGTTAAGTTCTAATAATTCAAGCAAAGATGGAAATGAGGCCTGCTTGAAAATAAACATGTAGTGAAATTCAGGGTCCCCTGGCTTTCCTAGGGCTTAGATTTCAGTCGATCTCTGCAAAGGAGTTACAGAACTATAGTAATTAAATAGCTGCATTCTTTATTGGTCTTTAATTTAAGTAATGCTTACACACAGGATATAGCTTTCCCCATTAAAAAGAGAAGCTGCTTTTATCGACAGCTGAAATTATAAAGTACTATAATGTTGCAGAATAGGAAAGAGAAAACTTACACAACTTAATAGATTTCCTTTAAGTTCGTGTATAATGAATATTATTTAGAAAGTCTAAAAATAAAAGAAATACCTTATATAAATCAAAAAATAAGGCATTCAACTCAGCTAATGGAGTTTTTGTTGTTTTCTAATCACATAAATCACTTTATATATTACCCCAACATATAATGTCAGACTGCATTAACCCTAATATTCATAGCAAAAATTGTGAGAGTATTTAGTATTTCACTATTTTCTTTGTGAAATTTACTTATCACATTTAATTATTACAGTCATGCATTCTATGCCACGTCAGAGCTTGAAAATTATCAGGTCTTGTCATATAAAGTCTGTATCTTTTATAGATAACTTTTTTGTTTGTCAATTAATTAGACGCATTTGAATTAACATAAATTAGCATAACAATTTAGGTAAAAGCATCTGCTGTAGGCATACGTCTTAATTTGGCAATATTAGAATTAAACAGCATCATGGGTATTCTACTTGCATTGTATCAGTTTATGACTTTGACCTGAGTGATACCATACAGGTTCTTTTTCTCTCTCCCAGGTTAGTGCATTTCACTGGAATCCTCCTGTGTCTGTTAGCAACTATGACAATGCAATTTGAAAGAAGTTATTTATAGATTTAGTGCTTTTTGTATTGTAGCAGTGAATTTTGGCTTTCTGGGATAAATATCAAAAGCATTTTCAATACCTTTCAAAATTAATGGAATTTCTTCTTTCTGTGTTCAAAATATTTGCTGTCTCATGTGAGATATATATATATGTATGTAGATTTTCCTTCTTTTGCCTGTATTGGTGTAACATCAGCAGGGACCATTTACTTTTTTCTTTGTTTTTGTCTAACTCTTTACTGTATTGCTTTGGATTGTTGAAAAGCTTTCTGTCAAGTAATTAGTTTTTAGATCTGTATTAGATAAAAGCATCTTTAATAAATCACTGCTATTAAAAACATAGGTGTTAAAATCAAGCAAGGGATATTCTAGGCACTGATGTTTTTCTAAGAATAGAAGGTCAGTACATTTTTGTGGTTGCCCCTGACCATTAAGACTGGAGGAAGGTTCTTGGAGAGAATTTCTAGCCAAGCCATGTACAGGTAATCAGACACTGCTCCTTTTCTTGCCACTGGGAGGCTCCTGTTTAGAAAGAGAAAAATGAAATTAGCATTATGAAGACAGGGGTAGTTCTGATAACACGCATGTCACTAAGTATTAACTAGAAAATATCAGCTATTCATTTACAGTTCTGAATATTCATAATTAGACTATATGAGATTGTTTTAATCTTATAAAGCACAAAGCTACCATTAGGGCTTAATCCTGCAAGCTCTTGTTCACCTGGTTAATGTCATTAACATGGCTAGTTGTACTGGACATGGATTGCTTGTGATTGTAACCCTAAAGTGGTAAAGAAGCATTTTTGGGGTCTTAAAACCCATGTATAATATGATCTTTTTTTAAAGGAAAAAATACAGTACATGCACAGCGTTACAGTCCATCAAGTGACTTTCTGATCTGTAATTACTGTGAGATGAGAGTTTTAAAGTATGGGTCAATTTATGGTGAACATTACCTGATAACCGTTATTGGAGACTTAATTAATAGAGCTAAAGAGGTTTATCTGTGCACCATAAATACTAATTTATTGAAACTGTGTATAAAAATATGTGGCTCTAACAAAACATAGAATCTGAAAATGGCTTTGTTTTACTTTGTAATTTTATGCAATTGCACCATCCTTATTCAGTTCTTCAAAGTTCCAAGGAGAACTTGCCTAACAACTCCATTTATTATGTGCAAACCAAAATAATCCTTTCTCTACCTTCAAGTTGTTAATAGTTGGGGAAAAATAATGAAAAATATGTATTTTCTGCAGGTAAGTAAGCAGATGGAATCTTCACATGCAAAGCTACATGTTGGGTGTTACATTTTTGACACGAGTAGAGCTTTGTTTTAAGATATGAAGATCTACTAAAGAAAGAGTCATGTTCAGTGTAGTATCAGAGAACTCTCAGTCAAAACATACTTAAAAGATTATTTTTGCCCTCGGTGCATTAACACAAGTGTTTCTGTTGCTCTAGTCCAGGATCCATTTACACATTATTCTCTAAGCTAGAACCAAAATCTTGCAACTCACAGGACGATGAGGTTGGCTGCCCTTGAGTGCTCTTGTAAGAGTTCATTCAGACGGACTTGGCGGTAACTCTGAAACAAAACAGGAAAAGAAGGAAAAAAAAATGGTTAGGTCAGGGACCCTCAGTTCTGGTGCCTTGTGCATGGCTACAGTATCCGTTGCTTTCTCCTGTGGCTTTGGCATCATTGAAAGCCAGGTCTGCTCTGTGGTCCAGAGTGATAAAGATGTCAAAATATGAGGCTAAGCTTGCTTCTTGATTAGTGTAGTTATGTGGGGGGCAGAGTTGTTCACCACTGTGTAAGTTTTCCTGGGAATGGGAATTTTTTTTGTACTGATGCAGTACCAGAGCTGGCTCAAATGTAGTTTTTAAGTATTTCTTTGGCCATGGGGTATAGGAACTAGACAGAGACTCCTTTGTGCTATTGTTTGACAGTAGTTAATGTATTAATTCATCTGTTTTCTAAGTGGCCAGCCACCATGCTGACAGAGCTGAAAGTCAGTGTGTAAATGAGCATCTTGCCAGAAATTCACCTCTTAAACAAAAGACCAGGAGTTTGGAGTAAGACTTAGCTGCTTTATGTATTGTGTATGTGTATGGACTTCTACAGATCACATAAATGGCTGTTACTTTGACATTCAGCCAAGATTACTTTATGGTCAGGCTCAGGCCCTCAGAGTTTTTTAACTTAACACAAGTCATAAGGAACAAGAGACCAGGGCAAGTTTGTGTACAGTGAGATTGCAGCATGGGAGATAGATGTATCTTAACTGGTCATATAAATTGTTCTCTCTTTCCCTAGAGAAGGTAAAAAGCTGGTTTTTCTCCATCCAGACCTTAAATTTGCCTTCTCTACAGAAATTTTGCTGTTCTTTTACATGTGTTATATAGGTAAGAATCTTTTAATTTAGCCAGTGGTTATCTCATGAGAGTCACTCTATAACATCACCCTTTATCTGTGCTTCGGAGGTTTTCTCTCTTGAATTTTAAATGTCTTTGAATGTCCTCCATGAAATTCCCAGAACTGCCTTATTTCTGAAGATAAAGGACACATCTTTCCAGGTGTGTAAGCTGAACTTTTTGTTGCTGTTCTTATTTTATAGAGAGATTTTGCATTTTCATATTGCTGACTGCTTTCAACCTGTGAGTTTTTTCCCAGTTCCTTAGTGACCCAGCCAAGACCAGGTTTAATCATGTATTTTTTCCCCCGTTGTAATCCTTAATGGTTCTGCACACAAGTGTGTCTATTGGGGGTTATATTCCTGATGTCTTTTATACTGAGATGTTCTAAGGGCTCTGACTCCCAAGTTTTGATGATTTATGCTGAGAGTACTTTAAAATCTTTCTGCCCACAGCAGACTACCATAGCTTTATTCTGGTTATCAAATCTATGAAAAGGGTAATACAGTGAGCAGTCAGTCAGCTTCCCAGCTGCTGCAGTCAGTAGTATAGTGTGTTATCTTAAATCACCATTGATTTCAGCTTATGTTAATATGTCAGGCTGTGACCTGTAGCAGCTCTGAGCTCAGGCTCACAATCGTTGCTCCACTGAGGAAGTTAACGAGCACCATAAAGTGGAGATAACTAAACTCTCAGTGCACTCAGGTTAATCCGACAGGAACCATAAATAAAACTGCTAGATTAATTCTCTGTGAGTTACAGGAGAACTTGTCTCTTAAAGGTGGAAGAGTTTGCAGTATCCTTTTGGCATTAGCCTGATGAAGCCGTGCCGTTCATTACTAAAAAGGCATGTTCCAACAAAATTAAAAGAGCAGCCCAGGCTTGAATTCACCCAGTGGGTCAGCCAAAATCAGCCTTGGAGTGCCTCTGAACTGTGGGAGAGCTCCTGCGTTGAGGGCAGGTTTAGTCTTCACTCTGCCATTGAGGTAAGAATCCATGTTAAATCTTGCCTTTGGAAAAATTTCTAGAGGCAGTGGTAGGGTCTGGATTCAGTTCTAAATGTCCCAAAGTAGTGAATGTTTGGAATTACACTCTTTAAGACGTTCAAGCTCTAGAACAGTGGAGCCATTCAAGAAACCTCTCGGCAGATGTTACTAGCTCAGGCTTAGCACAGTATTGTGTGGCTTCTGGTTCAGAGGTGGCTTTTGGCTGGCTGGCCCTGATGTGGGAAGAGCTTCTCATCAGCCTGGAAAATACTGTGTAAACATGCCAAGGTCTTACAGAGTGCTGAATAATGCAATCGTAACACACCTCCGCAGTGTTTACAATATAAATCCAATTTGTAAATATCAAGTACAGGTTTGTACGTGTCATGTTTCCAATTCTGTGTCTGGTATTTCACGTTTTCTTACTAATCGCTTCAAACATCTGGAGTGTAAGAAAAGGTACAGATGTAAAAAGGTAGACAAGGCTTTACCTTCTCCTTGAATGCTTCCAGCTCTGCATCTGTAATTTTCCATGGAGTCTCTCGCTTTAATTTCTCAGCAGTTGTTATATCTTTGCAGCTTTCATGAAGGCGATATGGTTCAATCATCTCTTCAAAGAATTTCCAGCTGAAACAGGAATTACAAAGGAAGCCTTGCTGCAGGGTATGAACTCACTAACTTATTTCAGACATTGTGTATGGCAGGCCTCGCTGACAATAATTGTAGCAGAAAAATGTGCAAAATCTTTTAACTATTCTTTGCTACGTTGTGCCCTAAGTTATATCTGTGCCACTTCAGTATGTTGGGGTTATTTGAGGGTAATTAAAAGGTTATTTGAGGATAATTAAACACCGCATTTGGCCTATTGTAGTTACAGAGATTTTTCTGCATTTTCCTCAAATTGTAGCAAAAATATTGAAATGAGTTCTACAGTAACTCCAAACTGCAGAACATTGGTACTAATGTCAACAATGAGTGTGGGTCTCCTCATAAATACTGAGCTTTTATTATTGTTTTAGCATTAGTTGACTGATATCACCTGTTTCTCCATTTCAGTAAAACTGTATCTCCTGTGGCAAGGGGCTGAAGGAGATGCTGTAGGTTTTTTGCTATATGGAGGATCAGGTTTGTGTTAATTTCTGCACTTCTCCAGAGATTTTTCTCTCTAAATTTCAATTTATTTCTTGAAGCTTTTGACCGTCATCATCCAGAGAAGCTTATCATCCTTCTGTACTTCCCTTCTTGCCCCTTTGTTTAAAGTTTATGTTGTCCCACAGAGACTTCAGGAAATTTCTTTTATATTATTGTAAATCTATTTCCATGTGCACTTTATGCTGACAGGTATCACTGTGAATTGAAACAGGAGGCTGGGCACAGGCTGGACTTTGCTGTATGGCCAGGAAGTCAAGAGATGGGTTAAAGGCGGTATAAATATAAGTACATGTAGTATTTAACGTTGCTGCTGCTAAGTTGCCAGAGACTTTGTCAACATCCTGAGTATATCTGTTTTGGTATCTAAAATAGTGATAATCCCCTTAATATGAGTGAAATAAATGGGATTCCAGCTGGGAGAGAGTTGCCCTGGTCTCGCAGGTGTCTGGCGCGGTATTTGCTTGTTCTGTTCAGATAGTGCTGATGCAGCAAATATGATGGTTTGTTAATGCCAGATACAGACTCTTTTTGATAGCTTTTATTTATGTAGAGTCACTGCATGGTACTAGAAAAAAGAGAAGTATTCTGCACAGTTCTTTATATATTTAAAAATATTAACTGGGAAATGGAGGGCACTAATAAGTGACTTTAGGTATCTAGCACCTACTTTTGTCTACATAAAGCAGAAGAAATGGGCGATTTCTATAATGACATGTTTTCTAAAACCAGGGCATAAAGATTTTATTTTTTTATTTAGCTAATATAGTTGGAGGTGGAGCTTCCTGAGCTCTGTTCTACCAACTTCCTAACCTCTGCCTGACAGCATTGATTCTGTAGGCAAGTTAATTTTGACAAGCATTGAACATTCATTATGTTTTGGTGATAGGGGAGTATTATAATAATGTCCTTATAGGAAAGGAGAAGCATGCTTATGTTTGGCCAGAAAAATATTAAGTTAGGAATTCATGGTAAAACCCAGAAGGCTGAGTTGGCAAAGATGGAGAGTTTGCAAGAGAACTGTGACTGACTGAATGATACGGTGAAGAGAAGTCTGTTGCAACCTAAATAGATATGAAAAGCCATAATAAAATGCCTGTTATATTTTGTGGCTCATAAGTGTGGTGTTTAATTAGTCTGTATGAAAATTAAGTCTTATCAAATCGTAAAGAAAAAGGCTGCCTCTAGTTTTGACCTTTTAGGTTGTGGTTCTGTTTGTTTCTCCTGCTCAAGGTACTTTAGAAAATGATTGTAATAAATTGTCACTATTACTCTTTGTGGATTGTTTTAATTTTTTCAAATGCTCAACATAAAAGAAACAAGCTCCTGATAAAGGCCAGCTGCTAAGTAATGGGTTTGGGTAATGTTTCTTACCTCTCTTTGCTGGGCTTTATATTGATATCACAAATGATATTAATATCAGCAAATTTTATTCTGAATTTGCTTAGAAGTGAAGCCATCCTGAAAACAAAAGAGAGAACATTTTATCTCAAAAGAGAGAACTGTATTTGAGTGTTTTGCATCAAAGAGCACTCATAAATGAGTTAAGATATCAAATGCATTTGTCTCATTATCTGTAACTGTATGACAAATTATTTTAAATGCCTTAGTGTTTCAGTTTCTGATTACAGAGCTGGATTGATGTGATTGCTGTAGTATAACTCATTTAACTGGCAATCGATGAAAATCACAAAATATTGAAATAAATAGAGGGCACGGTGTTTACATTTTGGGAGAAAATGGTGCTTCAAGTTTTTGCAAAGCTTTGAATTATAAAGGAAAAGTACTCAAAATGTGGGAGGACAGAATTCTCCAACACTTGGAGAGGGCGTCTGTTCTCTTGTCAGAATTTTATGCATGGAATATATACATCACTGGTATGTGCTGGTGAAAATTGGGTCTGGAAGGTTGGTGTGCAGTACTTAACAAATCTTTTTCATTTATGAATTTGTATTGATTTATTCATATGTTGTCTTTACGTATTGTCATCAAACTAAATAATTTGCTTTTCTGCCCCAGTTGGTAGGAGGAATAGTTTATAACTTTGTATGTGTTTGTGCTGAGGGTAGAGAGGTTTAGTTATGTCAGTTTTGCCTTTGGTTGAAGCACAGTAGGGAACTTGTATTCCCCCCTCTCCTTTCTTTTGGGAGGAGGCTTTTCTTGTGGGTTGGTTTGTTTGTTTGCTTTTGTATGTAAGCTTTGGAATTTGAAAAGGTCAGAAAGTTCCTAGGAGCAAACCATGATAAGCTTATATGACCTGAGAATTTACTTGTTGTTTTTTTCTGCTATACTGCTTATAGTATATACTGCTTATACTGTTTTTTTCTATATACTGCTTATAGAAATTTTGATGTCCCTCTGGGCAGTCCTTGTTTTGAACATAAAAAAAGAACAGTCTCAACTTCTATGGAAGGGTTTTAATTTGGGGAATTCCATGTTAGCAAGAGTCCAGATAAATTTAATTTCTGAATTGGAAATATGATGGATGAAATTGTAGTTGGATGTCATTGTGTCAAATGTACCTGCGGAATGGAATAGTCACCTGGCCTCCAGATTTGTCTCTTTGAAGGCTTCTGTGTGTGGTGGGTAGCATATGCTGTTGAGGAAAGCTAGTATTTAGGTAGAAATGCATACACTTCAGTGTTTTTGGAGACAAACAAGGTTTTTGTCAATTGTACTGACTGCTGTTCACTCTGGCTTTTGTAGGACAAGCAGTGTATACAGGTGCCAGAACTGGCCCTGTGAAGATCTGTCATGTTTTGACAAATCCCATTGGATGCCAAAACCTCCTAATGTCTCTCAAACTCTGGTGACTTGAGATCCTAGATCTATGCACTGGTTCAGTCCTGAACAGTCGAGTGTGGGCAGGGAGCTGAGAATGCTTCCCTGCAGGTGCTTGAGCAGCTGCAAGGCTTTTTTTACCCAGTGATAAGAATAGCCTGTACAAACACTTGTGGATCTCTTCTACAGAAATATGTTAACTTTAGGGTAATCCTTGCAACTGGCAGAACAACACTGGAGTAAAGTTTGCTTTAGGTGAAAGCAAAAGCTTAAGGGAGCATCCCTGTGGTAGCTGTCTTTGAGACACTGTGTCATAGTTGTAGTGATCCTGGCTAAATTCTGACTCCTGTCCTTGCACCCATTGCTCTTGTTTTCCACTGGAATTTTTGTTGGATATGTTGGTTTTTAACTCACTACATGGTGCTGCTGCAGTCACTGACTTCCATCCCAAACTGGCCTGCTTCCACCTGTGGTGAAGTGTCTGTATCTCTAGTGTGCAAAGTGCTTTGGAAGGAAAGGTCATCATACAGTGATGATGAAAGTGAGTTTATATTAGTACCTTTCATTTGCTTGGATATGAATGATGATGATGAAATCTAGGCTTTCTTTAAAAAGCTAAGTCAAATCAACTTGGTCTTAAAGTTCATTAACTTGCTCTTTAACTTCTTTACATTTTACCATGGTTAATCACATTTATGTGAGCTATCTGTCTATGGTATTTGCATATGAGAAACTTCATGTGCAATTTCACTTATTATTAACTGGACAATCTCATGTAAATCCCATAAAACTAATTATATTCTCATTACAGAGTGCAGACCACTGCTCTAGAGAAGGGAATATGAGCTATTAATGGGAAAAATTGCTGGATGTGAGTTTCCTTTGGTAATTACCATTTACATTGAGCCTTGAGGGCTGTGCCGTAAGCTCAGCACCTTTCTATCAAGTACATAATTTTTCTTCATGCTGTGCACAGCACAACAAACCAGTTGTGCTGAGAAATTCCCAGCTTCCTGCTGTATATGCATTATATTCATCATCAATTCAAACTCTCTAAATGATAAAATATATTTACACTAGTTTTTCTTCTTCAATCCTATTGACTTTTCCTCCAGTGAAGATCCTTAGTTTGCAATTTCTCCACTTCTTCCTGATAGTTAGAATGTAAGGAATTAGGATTGTTAGACCTGGAAGAACACAGGAAATTGCAGGAAAATCATATTAGTGCATTGTGTGGTAAAAATTCCATCCTTCACTTTGGCAGTGCTGGACATAGGTTATTCATAAAACATTTAAGGCAGACAGAAAATTGACTGTGTAATCTTAAAACAGTTTTGTGCAAGTTGCCAAGTCTGTTTTTGTATTTGGTAACAAAAATCTCTCTCCCTGCAGTTCTTACTCCAGTTCCTTACCTCCATCATCGAACAGCCACCAGATGTCAATTGAACCTTTTCCTTGCTTCTTCTTAAATTGAGTGCTGGCTTCTAGCAGCTTCTGATTGAATTCACCCACATGCATTGACTGCATTGTGTTAATGGTGCTGTCTGTAAGGAGAAAGAAAATACATGGAAGGGTTTCTGACAAGTGAGGCAACAAGTAGCTTTAGGGAGCCAAGTGGAGACAAAGCTTTACGAAAATGAACTATTTCTGGGAATTTCTGTACTTTAAATCTGAAAAAAAAAGTACAGTGCAAATGCTGTGGACTTCTAATACACCAACACACACAGAAACTAAAGCCTGTGTAACATGTTCTCGCTAGACTGTAACATCTTGAGGAGGGTTACCTGATTATTTGTTTCGTGGATCTTTTTAGTTAACCCAAGGTTCACAGGGGCCTTAGAAAACAATTGGGAAATATCTGAGAGATTTTAGAAGGAAACGGCATCGTTTTGTGTCACTTACAAGCTCAGCTGTCTTGTGAAATACAGAGCTCCCTGAAATGCACAATAACAGTGGAGAAAGAGCTAATGTACGGCAAGAGCACAGGTGAAGCTAAGGCTGAAAGGCAGAAAACAGAAATATATATGGCAACTTCTCTGTGCTTGAGAGGATTGTTGTTAATTGAAAATAAACTTTGATTCTTGCTGTTTGCTTGGCGGGCTTTAAAAGGTACAGTCTTGCCTATGTGCTAATAATATCTTCTCTCATTCCATCTTTTGACGACTGTGGCTTTATTACTGCTTCTCTTTCGATGGTTTCAAAGAGGCTGTGTTAGAGCAGTATTTTAAATGGAGCAGACAGGCTTCCTTAGAGGTTTTACTCTGATCTGCTAGGTTCTGAAAATACTTTGTTTGGGTTTCCTGTATTTTTAGAGTGTGGATAGGATAGTTCTAAAGCAGATATTGGTTTTCCTCTACAGTTCTAGCATCTGGGCTAGAAGATGCAACAACTCTGGGTAAGATGAATGTATAGGTAAAATGGAGAGGCAGAGATATTTATTAACATCATCTATCTCATATATAGAGCCGAAGTGTGTAATTTGTGTTTCCTTTATGCCTTTCTGAACTAAATTGAAAAGAGTAGTTGAAACAGGGGTGTACATTCTTGTGATGTTGTTATAAAAATATATTCTACTGAAGCCTGCAAAATGAACTGGAGTCTGCCAAGTAAAGAATAATGACATTTTATGTTTTCAGTCTGTAGATCTTCTTGATACCCATGGGAGCTGCGTGCACAGCCAGATGTTATAGTCTCTGCAGGTGAAAATTCTGAGAACACTTGCCTGCATGCAGGCATGGCTTCAGGTGGGTCATTATCATTGCAGCCCAGCAGTTGTGAAATGAGACCTTTAATTCTGGCTGTATTTCTGTATAATTTCACTATATCTGAAATGTAATTTTGATTTCATCGCCTATACATTTATGTGTTAATTAGTTATTTCACAGCATGTTGTATATGTGCTTTCAGTACTTTTGCCACTTTCATTTGTGCATTTTTAGGAAATTGTGCTTAGGATATAGAGCAGTAGTGCTATTTTTACCTGGTTTTCAGCTGGGTACTGGGTTTGTGTGTGTGTATGTTGAGGAAAGTGAGATTCCTTGTTCCCTGAACATTGTGCATATATTCCTGTTTCCTTTAAGAAGAAGGAAAAAAGGCTTCTATTTAAAAACTGAAAACTTGCTATTAAAAAAAACCAACAAAACAAACCCCAACCTGTTCTATATTCCTCAGACTTTAATAACCATGTGCTATTTTTGACAAATGGAGTTTAACATAAGCCTGAGCTGAGAAGCTCATCTATCAAATGAGGGGGAAAATACAGTTGTCTTGTATGAGGTACCATGTCCCACCAGCAGAGGGCTCTCACTCTGCTCTGCATTACATTGTTGTGGCCACCAAGTCAGCTTTGCACAGAGTAGGTCCTGTTCCAGGGGCTTATATGTTGCTCAGGAGTTTTTGCCTTGGAGTCAAAGTCCCGTTTGCATATTAGTGACAATCTGATGCACTGAAGGGTCAGGAAGAAGTTGTCAGTTTGGAACTTACCCTTTTTTGTTTCATGTTTTGAGATATTGAGTGTCCTGGCTTTCCTGAAGAGTCCACAGATGCCACTTTTTCCTTCTTCAAAATCGTTTTCTTTAATGGTAGCTTCCAGTGCCAGTCTCTCCTGCTCCAGCTTCTCTAACTCCTCTGTGTATTGGGAAAAGTAAGGGAACTGGTAACAAATAATTTTCTGTTTTAAATTAAATCACTTACTGAAATGATGGTGGTGATGTAATTGTTGTGGTACTTTGTACATAACATAAAGCTGCTGGGAGGAAAAACTAATTTAAAATTATTTTTCCTTGCAAAGCAATAGGGAGGAGAAAGCTGAATTCCTCTCTGGAAGCCCTAACTTAGGGTGCCCCCATCTATAGCAATGTTGTGTACTGAAGTGCTATTCAGCTGTTCTCAGATTTCCTCTTCCAAATCAAGTTCAATATTACTCTATTTTATCGTTACTGCAGATGCTATTTATTGAGTCATGTTTGTGGATTTGGTTGGTTGGTTTCTTTCCCCAAGAATTTGAAAACTCAAGAGGAAAGCTGTTTTTCTAAAGTGAGAAAGCTGAGGTATTGACTTCTATTGAACTTTGAGACTCGGAAATGTGTAAGGATCCTGAAGATGCAATCTTTTTCTATGTTGAAATGTTTCTAATGTTTTAGGGTTGGGTTTTTTTGGTTTTGTTTTTTTTTTTGCATTTGCTGTAAAGACGTAAGATTTAGATAACCAATTCTGTAAATTCAGTAACATAAAAGAACAGTTTAGTCTTAGCAATATTAGACTTCTGTCGAGCAAAAGGTATCACGTGTTACCGTGGAATATATGCATGTGAGACATTAATTAATATGATCCAGGCATTTGCCTGCAGAAAGGTTTTTTTTTCTCATAAGGAAAGCTTCTATTTGAGTAATACATGAACTAAGAGTGAGATTAGTTCATTTGAGACATTGTGTTTTAAAGAAACTAAACCCTTCCTAAACTAGGCACTGTTAGCTCTGTTGGCAATCTAATTTCTTTTACTTTAGCATCCATGACAGCCGTGTGCTTCTGATTATTAGACATGATGATGGTTACTCAAAACTTTGTTTCTCTATTAAACTGAATAATTTAACAAGTATAATAGAATACTGTCCCGCCCCCTATAATCCTAATTCTTTCTTATTCATTTTGTCTTAATGCTTGGAGAACATTTGTTTATTTGCAAAGTTGGTATTCTGATGTCTGTGTCCTCTGAGAAGTCAGTTTCTCAAATCAAGCAAAGAGACAGGCAGATCTCTTTCAGGTATCAGTGAGGAGGAGAAAAAAACCCCATGGTTTGGATTTTTTTCCGTAAATCCCTGTAGTTTTGCCCCATAGCTCTGCGCGCACAGCAAGCTGCCAGTCTGCTGGGTGAGTGTTCATTTACCCTTGCTTCTTAAAGGAGTTTCTGGCGCCTTTTAATTCTAAGAGGTGATTTGCTTTTGAGAGTTGCCTCATCCTGGAAGCTGTCCTCTTTAATGGAGAGTTAATTTTGCTTATAATTAGCAAAGGCACTTAACGTCCTTTCTGCATGTTCTCCCCAGGAGGTATGAGCGTGGTCTGTGTCTCTGGGAAACGGGGTAAGCTGGAGGCAGGTTTACAGCAGGCGGCAGCAAAGAGTCGCCAGTCTTTTTACGCTCGCCTGTGTTCCTGGTCTGCAGATTTTATCTAATTCATTTATAATACAAAGCATTTATCTGCTGTGGAGGACAAGGGTTGCTAGGAATAATGTGCAGGTTTAGGCGGTATCTGTCTGCTCAAGTGGCCAAACTTTTGAGAAGTGGGAAAATTACTGTACTGAAAACCTGGAGAATTGTTCTGATGGTTTTTTTCTATGGAGTCATGCTCCCTCCAGGGTACCTGAGGAGCAAGTTACCAGTAACAATAACTCTGTGTCCTGAAAAAGAAAATCGAAGGCCACCATTGTATGTCACTCTTGGAAGCCCTTCATTTAGGTGCAGCTTCCTGCATGCTTTGTCCACACAGATGGCATGTCTCCCTGACTGGCTGTGGTGTGGTGGGAGGTTTTCCCTTTCCCCCTCGGATATGCACCACTTACCTAAGGAAGGATGAACAAAAAGGTGAAAAATAGAGCTGATTTTTTTTCTGTGGATTCCAAATTTTTGCATGGGTCGGAATTTTCTGGGTCTCAGCATTCCACAGATGGTACCAAAAGTGCAGCTTCCTGGTTCCCACTGTTCTCAGAGATCTTGGGTAGGCAGAGGGAGGAGGATGTGCACAGAGCAGGAAGGAAACATGCCAGAGTGACTGGTTGCTGTGGCACAGCATGATTTTACTACGTTAGTCTCTGCCTGTGCTGGAAGTGCTTTGGGAATTGAGTTCTCTGTTGTGCAGAGCCCCTTATTGTGTGAGGCTTGGCCACCTTCTATCACTGCCAGTGATTCAGCAAGGATTTCGGGCAGGATTGAAACTGCAGAAGCAGCAACTGTGGAAGTTACGGATGTAGGAACTACTCTAGAAACCAGGCAGTAACTCTCAGTTTTGGTCAGATTCCTTCTTATGCTAAGTATGTAATCTGCATAGATATTCAGCTGCTGAGTCACCACATACCTTGAACCTGGAGGACCTGGGATATATCAAATCCTTGGCTAATTCTGACAATAATCATTCCAAGCTCGAAATCAAAGGCATCACTGAAAAGGAAGAAAAAGAAGAGTAAATATTCTTTAGCATTATGCATGTTGGCAAGGAAAGCTACTTTGAGCAGATCAGTCCCAGGGAGGTGTTATTGCCATGTATTAGGCTGCTGTAGGTAAAACTGCAGAAGGAACTGCCTAAGCTTAAGTACTATCAACTTTCTTCCTTTACTTAAAATAAGGGTATCACTGGGCATGGGAACAGGTAGGCTATTGCTGAAATGGGTCTTTCTGACAATGCTTTTTAGGATCTAGGTTGCCATTGGATAACTTTTTTTTTCCTTTCTCAGAGGACATAACAAAGCTGGGCTGGGTTTAGTTATTCTTTCAGTCAGTGGAGCTTTACAGCTGAACTTTGAGGAAGAATCCATGAGAAGCCTGTTTCTAAATGACTGTTTCCTAGCTAAATCCCAACCCACAGAGCCTGCTGAGCCGTAGGCACACGTGAGATTTGAAGCAAGGCTCTTCCTCTGTCTCCTAGGCTTAAAAGAAGAATTCCATGATGTTCTCTTATTCCCTAAGAGAATGTATGTACATTATGGGTTGTTCTTCTCTGAGCTCCTGCTGACTAAAAATGAGAAAATGCAGTTCTGCAAAAGCACTGCTGACAGCAGTGCAGCTTCTTTATGTAGCATTGTCAAACCACATCATCTCTGACAGGGCCAGGTGTTTGCTAAGCAGGTCTCAGTAGGTGTGTGAAGCCAAGAAGCCTTTTTTAATGGGCAGAAACCTCTGTTACAGAGCTAACATATGAACCCAGATTTGTAGGCATTTGTTTACATTGTTTCTATACGTCAAATTCTGTATGTGAATGCTATATTAATCTAGTCTAAGAGGAGTAAAAAAGGGACTTACTGTATAACACCCACATAGTTTTCAACTTGTGTAGCAGTGGCAGTTCTCCAGTCCTTCTTAAATCCAATCACCAAGGTATTTGGTTTCATTCTACCCAACCCTGAGGCCTAGCAATATTAAAACACTGCTTGAGAAGGTATACACACATGCATTTACTGTAAATGAAAAGTAATGGCAAAAGATAACTGAAGCAATGTTCTGGAGACACTTACAATGAGATTGCATTTCATGAATGTCCTTCATGCTCATACCCATGCAGAAAGCAGAAAGATTAGCTCTAAATCATTCCAACTATAAATGATTTTAGATGACAGAAATGTAGTTTTGCTAAATTAGCATTCATTTGCATTTCTTCTGACATGCTCTCATTAAAATGGTTCAGTAACTTGGAATCAAGAGAGAGTTCAAGCACTGTTTGTATGCTTATTCTAACGTAATAGCATAAAGCTCTTATCACATTTGGAATACTCAATAGATGAACGGGGTCTGAAATCCCTTAAAACTTCAGATATGCAGAGAAGACATATCTTTTTAAACATATAATGTTGGTTTTTTTTTGCCTTGGACTTAGGAAGTGTTGCTGTTCTGTTTGCTGTATTCTTTCCAAAAGATTATTCAAAATTAGCTGAGCATGCTTTACAGGTAAAGTTTATAATCAGGAAAAACAAATAGTTTGTCAAGACATTAGACTGCCTCCAAAACTGGGCCTGGATGCTAAAACCTGAACAAGTAAG